GGTTTCCCCCCCCCCTGCCGGAAAAGCTCGGGAAACCAAGGGAGCCGGCGCCTTGCGGCGGGATGGGCCGCCCGCCTGCCCCCCCTGGCTGCCGGCGGGGCCCCCGGCGGAGGCGCGGCCCCCTACTGCATTCCCGGGCGGTGCTGAACTGGACAGCTCCGCGCGCCCCGCCGCTCGCAGGGGGCCCGCCAGGAGGGGGCGCGGGCCGGAGTCCCCCCTCCCCCGGGAGCGGCCAGGCCAGGGCAGGGCAGAGCGGGGGCTGCTTTGCTCTCTGCACCCCTCTCCCAAATCCGAGAACGAGCGCTCTGCTGGGCTCCCGGGGCCGCGAGGAAGGCGTCGCCAGAGAGAGCTCGCCCCCTCTCGCGCTCGCACACTCCCCCTCTCCCTCCCCCCGTGTGTTCCTTCCAGCTCAGCCTCCTTCTCATGCCATCTCTACGTGCCCAGAGCTCCAAATACAATCCTCCCATCGCAATCAGACGGGCACAAACTTCCACCAGCCCTTTCTCTGCCTGGAAGCGGGGAAAATAGAAGCCGGATGGGTAATTACACACACGGCCTCTATGTGTTTTTTTTAAATCGGCGTTTTCACTTTGCTTTTCGGGGGATTTGTTTTATTTTATTGGCTCATTAGATGCATCTCCTTTTGGTTGTTCCTCTCTCGTCTCTTTGTCTCTCTCTGGCTAACAGGGGGTGTGCATTGCACTGTCTGTGTCTCTCTGTAGTTTTCCGTGAAATTCCAAATCTTGCTGCTACAAGCAGACATTTTGGAACGATTATTCATGGAAAAGGGTTCAAAAGGGTGACCAGGATCTGGGGCTTGGGCAATAATTTCTGTCTCAAGGATAAGCATGTTTGCAGAGGAAGCGGGTGAAATGTGAATTCTTTTAACTTTCCTATGTCATTCATAAACTTGGAAGAGATAAAAAAAATCTCCTTGCTTTGAACACCAAAACATATAAGCCTTTCCTCTTCCATAGCATATTAGTTATCCTGGGTTAATTATAGCATCACCTCTTGTTTCTATACGTGCAACTTTTCCTTAATGTGACCCCAGGAAAAAATCTCCTGCTGCTACTAATTACATTTTTTCTCTGATCAGTTTCATAGTTAAGTGAGTGAGAGCACATGAGGCAGAATGTAGGTGCATGTTTTTGATTTTTTTTGGGGGGACCCTAGAATCTTATGGGTCACTTGGAAGGGGTTAGAGATGTTTCAGTCTCATAACTCAATTATTCCATACTTTCTCCTCTCTACCCCTACTTTTTGTCTTGAGACCATTTGCTTGACAATTTCTCAGTGATCTGGTGATTATCAGAGTACGTAAAAGATGACTGAATTAAAAACAGACTTGCTCTGGTCTAAAGCCCACTGCCTAACTTCTTTCCTTCAGCTTGGAGTTGGTCTGAAGGTATGGCCAGTGCATTCTTTTCGGCATAGAAAAACAACCTGCTTCTCCACCCTGCACAAAATTTCCTTTTTCCCACTCTCTGTTCCCTTCTCAGAAGGGAAGGACTTCTACGAGGGGTGATTACTGTGCCTCTGGTACCTGGGAGACAGTTCTGGTGTCTGGAAAACAGAACCAAGATTTCTGCAGCCTCTGCTGAGGCACCTTTAGGGTACAGCAAGAGCTATGCTGCAGGCTCTGTCCTGTGAGGATGGGGATGGGAATTGGGATTCCCACTCAGCAGGGAATGGAGCAAGTTCAGCCAGTGGCTCAGGCAGGTGATTTTCTTGGCTCCTGTCCTTGAGAAAAAAGCGAGCAGGCACCAAGGCCTCTTAGACAAGCTAGGCATTTTGGGGGGAGTGGAGAGAAGCTTGAGTGTAGTCACCTGAGCTTGAGATACTTGCCCTCACTTATTCCTGTCACCTTGGTTGCCTTTGACCTATCCAAAAAGTCCCTGCAGCCTGGAGATAGAGCCCTTCTTCTCATCCCCCAACCCCTTTCAGACTAACTTCTGCACATTTGCTCAGAAGAAATCAGTAATAGAGGCTCAGAAACTTCTGATTTTCCACAGAACCTGCTAACATCTCAGCCACTGACAGCGACTGAAGCTTCAGCAGCAGTTGATTAATCTTCTGGCCAAATAATCATTGAGAAAAGGAAAGGGGGTGGGGGAGGAAGGTATCAGCTTTTAGGCTGCCAGCAGGGAGACAGAGACTTCTGGGGACAGAGCAGACCTGGGGACACAGCTTGACTCTGTTATTTGGTAACTGCGTGACTCCAGAGAGAGCTTCAGCTTCACCATATGGAAAATGGGCACCTTAGTATCTGCCTATTCCTTTTTGAAGTTGTTCCCAGCTACCCCTTTCTTTTCATCACCCGCCACCCTATTCAGACCTCTATCATCACATGTATAGGACTGGACTGTGTGTGTTCTTCTCCCTTACTGCCTTGTAAGCCCTTTGAGGTCAACAGCCGTGTCTTGTTCACTATTACATCTTTGGGACCTAGTGCAGGGCTTGATACATAGTAGATGTTTGATAAACAACAGCTGAATGATTACGGTGAAGATTAAATGCTATAAGACAGGTGAAGTGCCTGGCACATAGTAGGCGCTCAACAAGTGTGCATTTCTTCTCATTTCTCCTCCCCTCTTTTACATCCAGATTTATTTCCAGCTTCTTCTTCCATGTAAATCATGTACCACTCCCCTCCCCCCTCCTAATCTAGTTTTACTCCTTGGATCCCTTCTGCAGACCAGGAAAGGATGACTGGGAAGAGCTGGCTTGATGAAAACCCCATTAGATGGTTGGGACTCACCAGGCACAAATACTTAGTAGCTGCTGAATAGATGCCCTTAGGGGAACAGCTTTGTGTGTCCACAGTTGGTTACTTGGGAAAGGCTTAGAGGAAATTAGCTAAAATGCCACAGGCCTATTTTGAGCTGCTTCTTTGATGGAGTGAAAATAACATGGGATTTGGGCACAGCAGACCTGGCCTTGAAGCCTAAGGCTGTCATTTCCTCATTGTTTGACCTTGGACAGTCATTTAACCTCTTTGGAAATTTGTCTCTTTGTCTGTCTAGGAGAACCATGTATATGAGTCTTACAGTGGGGTTGTCAGTGTTACATGTTAATAGTAATAACAACAGCTCACATTCATTGGGCATTTGGTGCATGCCAGGTACTAACCTAAGCTGAATCCCACAACAATCCTATGAGATAGGTATGAAATTATTTCCGTTTTCTAGATGAGGAAACCGAGTCACACAATGGTTTAAGTATCTCCTATAAGGCTGCGCAGTTAGTGAGCGGCAGAGCTAGGAGTCTAGTCCAGCATCCTGGCTTGAGAGCCTGTGTCTTAACCACTGTGTCTTGACCCAAGGTACGAGCTTTCTGAGTAAGGGTATTACACCAAGGCTATTAACTTCTTCAGTCCACAGACTCGGCAAGCATTTACGGAATAACTTCTAGGTCTCGGGCATTTCCACAGATTCCCACATTTAACTCCAATAGTCCTGCAAATGCATATTGATAACTTTTCTGATAGGTGAGTAAACAGAGCCTCATAGAGGTCATTATCAAGTCTCAAGGTCATATGTCAAGTAAGTGGAATAGCAGAGATTTGAACACTTTACAGTGCTTCAAGTTTTACTAACTACAAGACCAAAGTTTACTCATCTGTTTATTTACTCGTTTAAAGAGTTGAGCACCTACTGTGTGTCAGGTACTGTTCTAATTCCTGGTGTGGTGGTGAGCAGGGCAGACACAGTCCCTGCCTCCAAGAACCTGCAGGCAAGCAGGAGGAGGAGGAAATGAGGTGAAGGATGCTGTGGGGCATGGAGCAGGGAGACAAACCCAATCTAGGGGTGAGGGATGTCCTCCCTGAGGCCAGGGAGGGTGGTAAGGGAGCTGAGAAGAGGAAGGGCACTCCATGCTGTGAGACTA